TATAGTATTGCGAAAAATAAAGCATTTTTTATGTGTGTGTTCAACAGACGATGGTATCATATACTCGTAAAATAAAATGGAAACCAGCGACTACAAAACAGGAATAATTTGATAACCTTGTCTTTAAAATCATGCTATTTGATGCATTTATATTTTTTATACTTGGAGCCAAATATTCTACACTGAAAACCAAACGGCTTGAGCTCAACGAGTACGAGAGAGGAATGTGTATAGACACATCTGTTAGAAAGAGATAGAAGCCGGCTGAATAGCGAAGCTCATCACCGCTGACGCAGGAGGTCGTGGCAATTTGCCGCGTTACACCAGTTCCTTGAATTAAGATGCATATTGAAAATATGAGTAAAATTGTTCTCTACGCAAAAATAATGGTTTTATTTTGAGCGTACACATTTTTGAATTTGAATTTTGTCAAATCTGTTTAGGGTCAATTCCAAAATGAAAGGTTAGGATCGCTACAAATTTCTACCTTCATGATCATAGATGAGCGATTTTGGCCAGTACCTACTCTACTGTTTAAAAGTACTTGAACACCCAGAAAACAAGGAAACTGATGGAAGTTAGTAAAGAAAACTTTACAATATCTGAATGAAACATATATTTTCTTAACTCTTGACAACATACAAGGATTTATAATCAAATTCATATTTTTCTAAAGTTGATGAGGTTATTTTTCGCCATTCGTCTTGTAAGATTCTCCAGAAGTGTTCTTGAGATGTCTGTGGGATGACATAGCAACTACGAGTATATTGGATTCAAATCCGGGGATTGGGGAGGCCATTGCATGACTTTCAAAATGTTTTGTTCTTTTGCTTCCAAAAATTGTTTACAGGCACAACATGATTTTGTAGTATGGCTTTGTAACCTTCTTTATTCAGTATTCCCTGTACTCTCACAATATCCCCCAGACCGGAATCACCAAAACAGCCCCCAATCATCATGACTGGTTGACTGAACCGATGGTGGATGATTCGAATGCCGTCTCGTTAGGCTGACGGCGGAAATATATTCTTCTCTTGGAACCAAAAACTTCAAATTTAGATTTATCGCTCCAGGTGACCTTCTTCCAGTCAGCAACAGTCCAATTTTGATGTTTGCCCAATGCGTTCTCTTTTTTTTGTTAGTAGTCCCGTGGAGTGGTTTAGATACTGCTATGCATCCCTAAGTGTAGACACACTTACATATTTACTACGTCCCACAGTCCGCTGCTATTTCGGGTGCAGTCTTGCGTCTATTGCGTTTACTTTTCACTATTATGCTTAAGTCTTCAGTGGAAGTTGTAACTCTCTGGGTCTCACTGAACGACGGCTATTTCAAGTTGTGCCTTGAGCCTTAAATTTCTTAATAATGCAGTGTACAGGTGACAGTACAGTGGACCTCCGGTAATCCGACAAACATCATGCAGGGCAGTGTCAGACTATCGAATTTGTCGGATTATAGAGCTCTGCCTAAGACCCCCTATAGTCCGGAATTTTTTACAAAAGAGTACCTTGTAATCCGAAAAATTACATATCCAATGGTAAGATTATATATGTTATGTATATGTATGTACTTTGAAGTACAAATCATACATGGTTTATGTATGTCGAATTTAGTAAATTAAATACCAATAGAGAGCTTACGTTTTATTATAAAATTAAGCATAAATGCACATACATATGTACCAAAATAATCAAGAATTATCAATCAAAATCATTAATGAATTTATCAAATTATGAAGCTTGGAAATATTCATCAATTTTTTTTTGTTTAAGGTTGTTATAACGCGAGATCAGAGCTTTGTCCCTCAGTCTTCTCAAAAGTAAAAGTTCGTTGTAGGATGTACCATTCTCTTCAGCCCATTATAAACCTAGCTCAAAGGTGTTAATTGCGTCTTGTGCTGTGACTTGTGGAGCAGTTGCAATCACGTCGTCGTTATTTTCCTGATTGTTTGTTGTATAATTAGAAACTTCTTTTATAATCTCTTCGTCAGACATTTCATGAAAAACATTTTCCTCTTTATCCATTCCACGGCACCAGATTTTCAAATCTTCCGGACTTATCTGTGTTTCAGTAGCGACTTGTTCTATAACTTCCGAAGTAACACTGATTTGTAGAAAGTTGCTAGGAGTGGTGACTATATCTGGCCATAACTTTTTTCAAGACGATTTAATAGTTGATGACGGTAACGCATTCCACGACTGACAAAGAGCAAAAACCAAGTATTTCATATTAAATTCTTTTAAAGTTTTTTCTATTGGTTAGTCTTTTGATACGGCTCTCAGAAGTAGGTTTTTCTTATAGTCTTGCTTGACAAACTGAATGATATTCTGGTCCATTGGTTGAATCAGAGCAGTACAATTTGGCGGAAGAAACATCGCAGTGATGCATTTATCCTCAGTTGTTAGTTCTTCTTCAAACGGATGACCGGGAGCGTTATCAAGAAGCAACAATGCTTTTTGAGGAAAATTATGATCTTTCAACCATTTTCTAACTTCAGGTACGAAGCATTCATCAAACCACTTTTTGAAAAGGTCTTTTGTCATCCATGCACTTTTTTGTCCGTAATAGTGTACAGGTAAATCAATGTTTTTGAATGCCCGTGGTTTATTAGATTTCCCAATGAACATCATCTTAAGCGCGTGTGTGCCCGCAGCGTTAGCACATGGTAGTATGGTTACACGCTCTTTACTTACTTTTCGTCCAGGTACGGATTTTTCGTTACAAGAAATGAAAGTTTTGTTAGGCATCACACGCCAAAAAAAGCCCTGATTCGTCTGCATTGTACACCTGTGACGGATCAAGATTTAAATCGTTCACCTTTTGCAAAAATCTTAATTTAAAGGGCTCTATGCAGGTGGCATCGTTAGAAAGTTTCTCTCCTGTAATAGTCATTAAACGTATGTCATGACGACTTTTAAAACGTTCTAGCCATCCTTTGCTGGCCACAATATCATCTTTTTTTTTGTTATTTCCTTATAAAAAAACTTAGCTTTCATGGCCAACATGGGTCCTGAAATTGGTGCATGCCTATTTCTTTTATGAAGAAACCACATGTACAAAGCTTCTTCCACTTCTGGATGTTCAGCTTTCTTGAGTGTCTGTCTCTTGCCTGGCCCGCAGTCAGTAGTTGACACGAACTTCTTGATCTTCTCGTGGTTTCTTTTAATGTCATAAATTGTAGATCGGCCTACGCCGTATTCACTTGCTAAACTACTGAAAGTTTCATTGCGATTTAAGCGGTCTAAAATATCACAGTTTTCTTTAATTGTCAATGTTTTGTGCTTTCGCTTCTGAGTTTATGATGACATTACTAGATACTATACATAATACACAATGAATAAATAGTAAACAATGAACGCACGCTAGGCCGTACCGCTATCACCAGTAGTCGAATTTAAACTAAGTAAAACAATGCTTACCCGTCGAGCACGATAGCGGTGGCGCGTACCAGTTGTAACCTGTTCAAACCTGCGTGATCTACATTAGCGAAGATTGTCAAATACGTATGTATGTAACGTCACGTAACTAATGTTCGCAGGTTTGTGCTGTTTAATTTTTTCATACAATTCCGCTTTCACACATGAATCGTCAAACGGGATTCCTTTTTCGCGCAACCATTGCTGCATGTCACTTTTTCGAGATCCCATAGTCGGTACACGTTCGGCTCGACGACTATGGTAGGAAGCATTATCCATGACGATCACAGAGTTGGGCTCAACTCGCTGAAGCACCCCTTGAAACCAGCTCTCGAAGCAGCTGGCATTCATTTCGTCATGGTAATCACCTCCTTTCTTAGAGACGAAAATCAAGTCACACTCTTCTAAAAAGCCACTATCGCTACCAATATGAGTTACGATCAATCTTTGACCTTTCCCTGACGGTCCACGAAGACCAGTTGACAAACCTTCAGTGCTTGCTTGTTGGTTACTCACTACGTTTTTGTCTATCCAGGTTTTTTAACTGTGTGACCTGCATTTACCCGTGTCTCGTCCAAATAATAGATTTTTCTGCTTTGTCGCCTATATTCAATCATTTCGCGTAGGTATTTTCGACGCCAGGCGACTATTTCAGGTCTCTCTATCAATACTGACTTCCGATTACGCGTTTCGTAACGAAAATTAATTTCGTGCAGGGATTTCCTCATTACCTCGACGCTCATTTGGGGTATAATTTCATTTTCCTTGATCGCTGCATGTACAGCCTTGAGGGTTGGTATCTCATTCCTAAAGAAGAATGAATGTACGGTTCGCCTTAACGCCATTTTGCTATCGTCATCCAATTTAACGGCCTTTCGTCCCTTCAAATTAAACTTTGGATCAGTAGTAGCTCCAGTTTTCTTCTTTTCATGCACCACCCTGCGAATGGTCCACTCTGGAACGCCTGTCATACTTTCACAACGCACGAGTGCATCTCCCTGCGACATAGTTCTGTTCAGATAATTGAACACGTTGAGCACGATTTCTTTCGCGTCCCTATTCAGTGCTTTACGAAGCCGTCTACTTGTTCCCTGGCTTTCAGTACTTCCACTCGTGCCGTTTGTACTCTCCAAGGTTAAGTATAACCAAATCAGTAACCACAGAAACCACAACAATAACAATCACTCAACAATTCTTATAAAAACACACAATATGCGATCGCTCAACGAAACACGTTCCAATGCTTTGCCGACGCCTATGAGTCTGCCGGTCGAGGCGCGTCTTTGATTTCATTGGTTCTACCGGCGCAGAACAATCAGCCATTATTTCCATCTCTGTCTGTGCTGTTGACCACCGCAAAGCCACAGAAACGACATATGTCGTACGCTATACGGCTGTACTGGAAGGAAGCCGGGATCGAGCTGTGATCACGTGTTGATCACGCGTATGATTCATTACAGTTTTAAATAGTTGTAGTATAGGTACTGTGGTGATGACTTTCTCTCTCGTACACATTGAACTCAAGCCGTCAGACAAAATTGGTTTTCCCTTTATAGGGGATTACTAAAAACATAACATTAGTAGAAATGTTTCCAGGGAACTGTCTACCTGCTGCACGAACATCCACGATGCTCGTAACATAATGTCAGAAGTGGTTCCAATCCCCATCGATCAGCTGTTCACGCTGCTGTTCACCAGCTCCAAATTCTACCTGGACTTTCACGCGGCCCGCAAGACTACGGACCTGACACAAACGCCATGGACACAGAACCCAATGGACGACAGCAAGAGCCGGGTGGTCAGTTTGACCATGGCGTTGGCGCAGACGGTCGGACCTAAGTCGGCGCAGGTCACCGAAACGCAGGTAAGGATACAAAATGGGATTTGCAATGGAGTTTAAGCAAACCAAAGTGTTACAATACAGCTTTATTTATTGACTTCCTTCAAAGTAATTTCCACCACATTCAATACACTTCCCCATCAGCCAAAATCAGTTTTTAAACCAGTTCTGCCAATGTTCAACAGGTAGTGTGGCACACTCGTCTCAAGCCCTCAGAAGGTCATCATCGCTAGAAAACCGTTTTCATTTTAGCTTCATTTTCACATAGTAGTAGAAAGATTTATTTAGCACATTTGGCCACATAAACAGAATAATTGTAAACAACTTAGAATTAGTAAATTCAAGCCAACGTGTATGATGTAAATGCTGGGCAAGCTATAATTGTAGATTTAACAAGTGATTCCTCAATTTTACTTTAAATTTTGTCAAAGTTTTCTGGTCTTTTATCTCTGTGTATAATTTATTATATTCAGTCAACCCTTGATGGAATACAGATTTGTAGCATATGTTATACTTTTTCGTCATTAAATGGAAGTCATCTTTATTTCTGGTATTATGTAAATGATGGTCGGCATTTGATGATGTTAAATTAGTTAGACTTGATGGAAATATATTATTTTTTACTTTATAAATGAATATCATTACGAGATATTTGATAAAAATTATAATTATTATTATTATAAACAATAAAGCAAACACTTATTTTGGCAAATTTATTTTGACAGGATCTGGTTTGTTATCATATGACAACTATTATATTGAAAGGTTCAAAAGCAGTACATTGTAAAAAAATCTTTTTGGAGATTTTATAATGGTTTACAAATAGAAATAAAAATAACACCAAATGTAAAAACACTTAAGATCTAATTAAGGTCTTTAAGTGATATATGATTTTGGTTATGTTCATTTTAATGTAATATTATAGCTTAAAGCTAAATAAAGACCTATTCTATTCTGTTACGAGTACAGTCTGTTATAAACGACACATTCCGACATCAAAAAGTAGACAGTAGAAAGTTTTAAAATTGTTAGGGCGCTAATTTTGATGCTTAAAATTCAAAAACAAGTTTATGGAATTGTCTACTTACTGTCTGTTTCAGATTATGCTGCCTTGTAGTAAACCAGGAGAGCTTTATGCGGTAGATATAGAAACGATAAACGCAGGCGTACCTTATGCAGAAAGCTTCTTCGTATCTGCACATTACTGCCTACAGAAGGTGTCTGAAACACATAGTTCAATTAACGTGTTCGCACAAGTTAAATATAAGAAGTCGGTGTGGGGCATAGTAAAAGGTAAGTCGAAACAGTATTGTAGCTATTTTAGTAGGTATTGTTTTTTCGTTAGTGGTATTTCGGTTTCGCTATTTCTGTACGAAACCGCAAATTTTGTAAATAAAATTCCTCGTCGGTTACGTAAAGATGAGTTATTCATTTTAACTGCTTCTAGGACTCGTCAAAAGGAGTTGATATACCAAAAATCACGTTGCATAATGAAATAAATAGTAAAAGATTAAAAATTTTAAAAATAAGAATGTTATTACACACACTTTTTGATACTTTCGACCACTGCTGTGTAAAATCTTAGCGTTTTTATTTACTACTATTATCATTTATCTAAATTTGGCAAACTTTTTGTGTTATTGTATGGTTTTCAGTACGAGTCTTTGGTTCGACCAGATGCATCAGTCTTTTAATAGTGCGTATAATTAGTCTGATTATTTTGTGCGAAAAAAAGGCCTCATCTTTACGAAAATAATGTACTAGTGGACATAATACTAACATGCGGAGAGTGACAAAAAATGCAGCCGCAGCATGCAGGTTGTTGCGGAAAAGTTTTTCTTTAAGAAACCATCCGGTCCCACGGTTGTTTGTAAATCTGGTTATTAGACTTCGTGACACTGGATATTTAAAAGAACAACGAGGAGGTCACGCTGGAGACCTGCACCCTGAAATTCACAAATTGAGGAAGACATTTTAGAAATGGTCGAAGACGACCCTTCGATGGGTACTAGAGCCATAGCAGCTCAAGAAGTTTCTCATAATGAAGAGTGGAAGACAATACGACAAGAACAGTATTATCCTTATCATTATCAACGGGTACAAGCGCTATAACCTGAAGATCATCCTATTTGGAAGAGGTATCATGATGGAGCAGTAAATACTCTGAAAGAACTTCAACAGCGCACTGAAAATGCTTGTGATTTAATTCGTAGACACCAGGATTTTATTTTCGAAGCTTGTAGAGTCGTGTATTCGTCGAGCAGGATTTTGCTTTAATCTAACAAATGTGGACAGTTTTGAACATTTTGTGTAAAAACCGTATCCATTTAACTTGATAATGATTTTTTTAAAATAATGTAAACTAACTGTTATTATGCAACTTTTATATAGGTGATTCTTGGTATATCAACTTCTTTTGACGAGTTCTACAAGCTGTTAAAATAAATGACGCAACTTTGAAAACACCCTGTATATCAATTTTGTATAGTCTGAAACACATTGCCATTGCCTCAAAAGCTCAAAGAAATAACCCGTTCAGTAATTTAAAAATTGGTGAGTTCATGCAAACTCAAACGAAATTTAAGGCAACACCCAATACAAACCAGGCCTTTTTGGTTCTGTCTTAAATTACGTCCAACGCATGTTTAAGAAAAACTTCTTGATTGGTCCTGTAAATATGTATTATACAGTTAGAGCCGGATTTGACTGATGGCTTAAATTTAATGTGCACGAGAGAGAAGCGCCAGAAATGCGTAAAATTTTATATGTTAGCGAGAGAGAGAATCCAGCTGATCACCACGTTGCCTAGCAACGCTGACGCAGAAGGTCGTGCCAATCTGCCTCTTTGCCAATATGCTTACACCAGTTCCTTGAATCACAATGCGTATCGAAAATATGCGTAGTTTACTATCTACGCCCAAATAATGATTTTATTTTGAGCTTACACATTGTTGAATTGTATCGAATCTGTTTAGAATCGATTCCGTATCGGTCTTAACGGCGCTCCATTTTAGGTCGAAATGGAAGGATCGTCACAAATTCTGCAACATTGCATCCTTGATTCGCTTGACAACACCGCAAGACAATTTGATTGAATAAAAAAAGTCGAACTTTGTTGTGCGATATATTTTTTTATAGAAAGTAGATATTTTATCTCTTCAATACTATTATTCTACAATAAAAATGTACAAGAGTTTTTCGCTATGTTGATTTTGAAAAGGTTTATGGTCTAAAATAATAATAATAATAATAATCTCTCTTTATTCATCATTATAAATAAATTGAGGATAAAAAAAAATTAAAGATAAAATGATGAAAGGCGTAGTTCAGCCTAAGCTGCTTTTCAACTAAACCCACAAAAAAATAACACTCATACAATATATATATATATATATATATATATATATATAAAAAGATAATATGCAATACAAAACAGAACATACGAGAGCATGGCCAAAGCAGTTTTTATGAGAGCACAATTCATGCAAAAAAGAGCAAGGCGACTTAAAAAGAGCACTTGACTTCGAAAAAATGTTTTGTCCACTTTGAAATATATTTTCTACCAGATACATTTTTCACGTCAAAATTCAGCTTTTTCTTTGCATCCTTTACAATTCACCTTAAATATGCAGCTTGGTAAATGGGCTCAAAAAACTATATTTATCGATCAGATGGGTCAAGAACCTGACATCTAAGAGAATTATTGGCATAATCTCGTAAATAAACTTATATATGAAAATGTCGAACATATTACTTTTGAAGCTCGAGCTAAAAGATTGTCTTAACAACTATTTTCTATATAGTGTAGAACATTTACAGGATTGTAACAAAGAAATCAAAAAGTTTTCCAAAGAATGTTCAGTTCCTGTCTACGTTAGGATCAGGAACCTATCGTCAAGCTAAAGGGCACTACTTGAATAACCTAAATTTAATTTTTCATGCATTATACAGGGTGTCCAATAAGTACCACGACAAACATAAGGAGAAGGTTGGACAGACCTCCCATATAACAAAAACTTACCTATATAAAAGAGTCACCGTTTTTGAGATATTGATTTTTTTCTTAAATTTAAAAAACTAACCTTTTCATCTGTGGTCTTTAGCTGCATGTACAAATAAGGTTATACTTTGACATTTTTTCGATAAAATACTCCTAGATCGTTGCTTTATCATATACAAATGGAATGTACTTAAAAGATATTAAGGAACCATGATCAAATAAGGACTATTTTGGGATTTATGGCCTGATATTGTTTTTATTGTTGTTGACTATAGTCCGAATTCCAGTAGGTATCATAAAATAATATCAGGAGCAGTTAATAATATCGTTGTACTATTTAGCATGTCATTGGTCGGTAAATTAAATTTAAATCCAATAATTACATTGTAATGCGTGTCAGACACTTACACATATCACTTTTTTTCTATTCCAAATGGTCGGTGTGGCGCCGTTCTGAAATCTGTATTCAATGAGCAATCTTTTATTCAATAAATGCAGTTATAGCCCAATACATTTTTGTTTCACCACAGATGGTCAAAGTTGAGGAAACAATGTCAGAAGGTTATAAATTCCAAAACAGTCCTTATTTTATCATGGTTCCTTAATATCTTTTAACTACATTGCATTTGTATATGATAAAGCAACTATCTAGAAGTATTTTATAGAAAACATGAACAAAGTATAACCTTATTTGTGCATGCAGCTAAAGACCACAGATGAAAAAGTTTTTTAAAATTTAAGAAAAAATTCAATATCTCAAAAACGGTGACAGTTTTATATAGGTAAGTTTGTCGTGGTATTTATTGGACACCCTGTCGATGTGTTAAGTCGAAAGTGTTCATTTACTGGGCTAGTGTTGCCATTTATCGTCTCTATGATTCTTGAAATGTATAATATTAGTGCACACATACAGTGTATCTTTGGTATCCATCCGATAAATGCGAATAATTTAGCCGACATCAAAAGCTGAAGTGATTCTTTGACATTTTGCCTAGATATCCTCTTATTATCATGACCACTAATCTCAAAACAGCAGTCGCAAAACTTTGCGGTTTCTACAGTTGATATGTTATCAATATAGCGATCTACTTCAGTATGTGTAGGTTGTTTTTAAAGTGTCAAAACAGTACCCAACTGAATGTGGATATTGTGTTGTTGTTGTTGAATTTTTCCACCGATTATTATAATAAAAATATGTAGTGAGTTTAGGAGTGCAAAAGTAAAAGGTTAGACTATTTTAAAGCGCTAAATATATTTTAAATAATAAATAAAAGAAATGAACCAGTGCAGTCTCCCCGATTAGCTAAACTTAGAACTCAGAACATTATATTTCTGAAGTCTGAATTCTATAGGGATGGCAGTTAAATAAATAAATAATTTGCCTAATGCGATCTGAAGAAAGGATAATTGTTGAATTCATTTCTCAACGGTCATTAGATGATATGCCTGATAATTCTGAGGAAACCTTGTATTGTTTCAGCAATGATAGAGCGAAACTGCTATGCGGGCATGGAGGAGTATTGCGCAGACTTGACGAAAGCCTTGAAAGCCGAAAGCGAGGAATTCATTCCAGAGAAAAAAAAAGCTCGCAGGAAAAGGAGATTACATAGTATGCCTCGACCCATCGAGGATAAGACAAGTTAGTATATATTCTGTATATTTCGGTGAATTTTATTTGGTTGTTTTTTGGGTTGTTAGGGTGTTCAGAAGATGCCAATCACTCGTGTTGGCGAAACATCAAGTCAAATTTTTATTTACGACGGCCTAACAACCAAAAACCAACCAAATAACATTGAATGATGGCCGCGAAAGCCCTTCGCGGTTCATTTCAGTGAATTATTATGATATTTATTCACACTCATTAAAATCTATGAATAAATCGATATTCCACAAAATAAGCATCCTTGTGCGTGAGTTAAGTTGCAACCCATAATACAACAATAACAATAAATGGTCTCTGGGACTAGAGGAAACCGATACAATATAAATATAATATCATCATCTTGCATTGAAGGTCGGTAATGTGGAAAAGATAGATGAATTAATATTTGTATGTCTTCACCAGCCATTCATGGAAGTCTTTTTTTGATAATGATAATGTTTTTTTCTTATATTTGTTGGTATCTTATGGTATAATTTGGGTCCTAAATATACGGGGTATTAATTAAATATACTAAGTGACATATAAATCCGAACACCCAGTTTAAATGGTTTTATTTTAATAAAATTTTGTATAAGTACTTAATGAAGCATAATAAGAAAATGATAAAAATTTCGAAATGATTGCACTGCTTTAAAGCCCTTTGACCTTTAATAATGTGTGGATGCACTCTGATGTGCTACGCATTCTCCAACGCGCCTAGGCATGCTTCTGATCAGGTGGTCAATGTCCTCCTGTGGTATCTCATTCCAGGCAACCACCAACTCCTCTCGAAGTGCTTCTAGACTCTGAGGAGGACGTTGCAAATTGAGCAATCTCCTACCCGTCATATCCCACACGTGCTCAATTGGGGATAAGTCGGGAGATCTTGGTGGTCATGGTAACAATGTGACATCATTATGTTGAAAGAAGTCTATTGTGACTCTTGCAACATGTGGTCAGGCATTATCTTGTTGGAAAGTTGGATCTGCCAGGGTGTCAAGATAGGGTAAAAGATGGGGTTCTAGAACTTCGTGGATATAACGCTGCGCGTTCATGTTACCTCTGATGAAGATTAAAGGTGACCTGGAACCATAAGCTGTAGCACCCCAAACCATAACTCCAACAGTGTGATGAACATGTCCTTTCCTCCTTTCACCACGTCACCTTCTAACCCTGGCACGACCATCGTGCATGCCTAAACAAAATCGAGACTCATCACTAAAGACAATAGATCCCAGAGTGACCGTTGTCTGCACCACTCAAGGCGATTACGTCGGTGTTCTCGAGTTAAAGGGAGGACCCAGTATGGCCGGTATGAAAACAAGCCAAAACTTCTCATTCGTCGGTAAACACTTCGCATGCCAATAGGTCTTCCGTGTTCTGCAAACCATTCATTTGCAATGGACCTGGTAGTGGAGAAACGGTCCCTTAAGGAAAATAATCTTAGGCGGCGATCTTCACGCTCTGTTGTTCTACGGCGGTGTCCAGTGCCCCTTGCTCTTTGCGTACGGCCTTCTCGAAGCTATGCCTGACAACACCTAACCACAGTGTCTACACTTCTTTGCACTCTAACTGCAATTGCCCGAAAAGAAAGTCCAGCTTCCCGAAGTCCCACTATACGGCCCCTATCAAACTCACTAAGTTGACGAAATCGTACAGGCCTCCGTACTCTAGGCATCGTAACCGATCGTAAAGGATGTCAAGAACCAAAATCCGCCAACGTTGATTCTTTACTGCGGCTGAAATATTCATTTTTAGAGCGTTAGTGAATTAAAAAAAGCAGTATAAAAAACGGAATGTCTAACTGATAAGGCTGAAGATTTTTTCACTTGTTATTTACAGTAAGATAAATAAATTCACCAACTTTTATTAAAATAAAACCATTTAAACTGGGTGTTCGGATTTATATGTCACTTAGTATATGTATCATAAATTTCACAGACGATTGTTTGAGTAATATTTAAGACAAAAAAATTCTTAAATATCATTTTCCTAATTTTCTTATAATTTGGCGGTACTCTTTATAACGTTAAGGAGCCGGTATAGCCCTAACTTAATTGATTTTATCAATTCCCGTGGTGTCTCGAGCGGGATCTGAACGAATAGTTGTGACAAAAAAATGTACGCCACTGACTTTTGAGCAAATAGAAATGCAACTTTTTTGTCTCTTGAATTTTGGTCGTATTCGAGAAAAAATTAATTTAATTGCATCTCCCTGGACCACACAAGGAATATGGAGAAGAGTGTCTTTTGGAAACTATTATTTTTATAATTTTTAATTACTAATTATGTAACAACAACAACAAATACTAAATAACATTAACGTAACAACAACAAAAATAATAATATTCAAAAGAAACTTTTCCCCATATTCCTTGTGTGGTCCCGGGATATGCAATTAGGTGGACTTTTTTCTCGAAAACTAAGCAAGACGAGAAAAAAAAGCGAGAGACAAAAAAGCTGTATTTTTATTTGCTTAAACCAAAGAACATAATAAAAATTGCACAAAAGTCAGTGGCGTACGTTTTCTCGTCACAGATATTCGTTCAATTCAGGGCTAAATTAGCTTCTAGTGTTGTAAATATCGCGAAATCACAACAAAATTAGGCAAAGGATGTTTAAGAAATTTTCGAAAAACCATTTTTGTTTTAATTTTAACACCCTGAATCGTGAGAACGAAGATTTTGCGGACCTATCTTATGAACTTTTTATCTTAAAGCTACTCAAAGAATCGTCTGTTACATTTATACAGGATGTATAAGTGATTTCAACATTATTTCTTTTTTGGCGTCTATGATAAAGGTTATATATCGTTTTTATTGTATCTTAATTCAACTATTGCTTGATGTAAGATTTTTAATTGAGCTTCACTAAGAATTTATCTATGCACCCGTATCTGTGAATCTCCTTGTACATTTTGGCAAAAACGATCAGACTAGACAATTTGGATTTCCAGGGGCACGTCTTTTCATCTATAGCCGTACAATACAGCTGGATCAAAAATAAGATATTGCCTTAAATTTTAGATTTTTAAATGGAAACCCCTTTTTTTAATGTTTAGATTCTCCATGAAGTTTTTAGTAGCTTTTGTATAATAGAATGTATACTTATCTTCAATCGTTGTGAAGCTATTTGAGTTTATAACACAATTCTAGAAATTGCGATAATAAGGGATTATAAAATAATAATCAATATAGTTCCCATAGTAGCAAGACTCTACTTTAAAATTAAAAATAAGTCCCCGAGTATTAAAAAAAAAAATAAAAAACAACTTACAGTTTACACGCACATTAAAGTTGAAGTAAAATTTAATTTGCTATAAAGAGGTAGGTTAATGTGGTAATAAGTGCTAAAAATTGTCCATTTACTTCTATGCCATAATCAAGATTTTCAAGCATGACTTGAGTTATTTGTCTACATTCAGTCGTAATCCGATTACGAAGATCTTGAATGGAATCTGGCTTCGTACTAAAAACTTAACTTTTCAAATGTCCCCAAAGAAATTAATCTAAAGGACTTAGGCCCGGCTGGCTCGACGGCCACTCGATGGGGCCTTGTCTGCTGATCCACTGATTCAGGAAATGGGTGTCCAAAAGAGAGATTTTGTCTAAAAGTGTGCTTAATGAATGTTTTGCTATTATTGGTGGAATAATATTAACCCTGATAAATTACTGTTTACAATATGGCGAATTTCCAACAAAACTGAAGTGTTCTACCATAACTCCTGTTAAAGTTAAGAATTCTGAGTTGTACACCAATATGCGGCCAATAAATCTTATTACAAGTCTTGCAAAATAAAGCTATAAGAATAATATTGAATAAAAATAAGTACACCAAAATAAAATCTATGTTACAAGAATTGCAGTGGTTGAATATAAAAAATTTCATATCATATTATTTGGTTCTTATTTTTATATTTAAAATAAAAAATTAGCTTTTGCCAGAACATTTAGAACACTACATAGAATTGAATAATCATTACCACAATTATTATACAAGAGGAAATATAGATTTTCATTTACAAAATTGCAATAGTAATATAACTAGCAAATCAGAAAGGATTACTTGAATTTAATAAACTAAATAATGATATAAGGTCTACTTGTAATTTAAAAATATTTAAAAGAACATTAAAGGAATATTTCATGGACAATGAAAATTCTTAGAGATGCAATTTTGTTCTAAATATGTGTATGTTTTGTTATTGTTTAGTTTTTTGGAAGAATGTAATTGAAGCAATCATGCTAAATAAATCTTAAACAAACAAATTAACGTCATTTTCTATTATTTCGGTAATTCGTGGTTCTATTGTATTTTCTAACAACGCCAAGTATGTCTCGCCCGCCAAATGTCCAGGAATAAAGCAAGGTTCTACAATATGATTTCTAAAAATGCCGGACCACACATTTATTATTTCAGATTGTTGCGAGTGAACCTCTCGAAACAAATGTGGATTCGAGTCAGTCCAATAACGACAGTTATGTCTATTTACAGGACCATGTAAATAGAACTTACGCTCATCAGAGAAACAGATATTAAATAACAGATTTGCATTGTTGATAAAACGTTGGAACATTAATTCGCAAAACTCCAACCTTTTATCAAAATCGTCTTCATTAAGCTCATGAACAAGTTTTATCTTGTACATGTGAAATTTATTGACTTTCAAAATTCTTTGTACTGTTAAGCCTGTAAATCCTAAAGAAGTAGCCAGTCCACAGGCGCTTTGGTGTTGTCAAGTGCTATGTGTGCCAAAATTTATGTTGCTTCATTTCTAACTGCGATTGCGGCGAATATTAGACACAGGTTCAGTTTCTTCAAATTTTCTTATCAACCTAGCCACATTCTTATCGTTAATATTTTTGTCTGGATGTAACACATTAAACGAACGGGCAGTAGCTCTTGCAATGTTCCCATTTTGGTAATACAGTTATGTTATCTATATCCTTTCTTAAATTGAATAACTTAACCATTTGAAATGAAAGATAAAGTTTTTCTATGACATACTGATGCTAAATGTTTTTGCTGGTATCCATAATTACAATTTTTTGCCTTGCATTCCATTATTATCGGTATTAAGTTAAGTTAGTCGAATTTTATTACAAGCTTAAATAGCTTCACAACGATTGGGGCCCAATAATGTAAGTTGTGATACTTTGTTGTCCCCTCTCTGTCAAACGTAGACTCTTCGATCCACAATATTTTAGTTAAATAGTCGTTTTCTTCTTGATCCCGATGAAGCATGTATCGACAAAAATCAATTCTTCTTGCGGGATCTCCTTCTTCTAATACTTGAACCGGTCTGTAATGGAAAGGGTAAAGTCTCGCCGAATGCAAAACGAACCAAACTTTCCACTGAGTTAAACCAAGCTGCTTTGCTATAACTCGTGTAGACGTCGTCGGGTCTCTGCCGTAGCATTCCAGTATTGCCTCTCGATCTTCGTCGTCAAACAACCGAGGTCTACCAGCATCATGACGTCTCTCATGAACCTGTCCACTTTCCTTGATGCGTTGCTACACAGAAGCAAATACTCGATGACTCGGTATTCGCCGATTCGGAAAACGGTTTTCGTATTCTCGCCTGGCTTCAACGGAATTTCCATCACTTAAACCATAACAAAACAGAATATCAGCGTATTCTTCGTTACGGTAACTCGCCATTATTAACCCTTAATAGCTACTCTTCCAAAACAATCACTTTTGAACTACCCAAGGGTCAATATGACCCAGATAAAAAAAATTAAATTTAAAAGAAAAACAACATCAAAATAATTTTATTGACAAAAGTAAACAAACGTTTATATTGTAATATAACATGTAAGTGTTGAAAAGCAAATCAAAAACAATTTGGGCATATGTTTTTGGCACAATTACGACATACTGGATTTTTACAGCTGTCACAGAAGGTACTAGTTTTTTGGTCCTTTTTAGATGGGCAAGTAGCACACCGCTTTCTTTTGGAAGGAGGAATGCGTTCAGTAGACTGTGCTTCAACATCAAGAGAAATTCCCAGTATATTCGCCATCAAACTTCTGAGTTTACGGGGAATCTTATTATTGTACATACGAACCATAATATGGCGTTGACATAAACTACGAGCTAAATTAAACAAGAAATTCCTTCTTGTTATTTCTTCTCCATTTTTAGAAAATTGAAGTAATACTCTAGAATTGATTCCTGCAACATTTAGCATCATGTGGAATAATGCCATGGGCCAACGGCGAGTTTTCCTGGAAGTTGAATAATTGGAACATTTTTGATCGAGGGCATCTACTCCAGCTTTTGTGTCGTTGTAAAACAAAATGATTTCCGGTTTTTTTGTTTCATTATCAACAGATGAATCATTATGCATACTGGAAATCAAAATCACTGACTTGTTTTTCTTCGGTACATATGAAACGAGAGTTTTTCCAGAAGTAAAGCCGAACTCTGTTGAAAATTCTTGACGCAATCTAGACGGCAAAAATTCTTTAGGAATACACCTTTTATTTTTTTTCAGAGTGCCCACGTAGGTTACATTTACTTTACTTAACTCATCTACCAACTCTACAGAAGAATACCAATTGTCACCTGTGATATTTCTATTACTTCCAATTACCGATTCCACCAAGCGAAGAACAACTTGTGTTGGTTGAGATAATTTGCATTTACTTTTCTCCAGCGACTTTCCCGCATAAATTTCTGCATTTAGCAAATAATGAGTTTTTGAGTCTGCAAGAACTTGTACTTTAAGACCGTATTTAGCGGGCTTGCTTGGAATAAACATCTTAAAACTGCAGCGTCCGCGAAACGGTACCAACATCTCATCTACGGTCAAGTATTCCCCGGGTGAGTAGTTTCCTTTACAGTTTTGGATAAATTCTTCAAAAAGATTTCCTAAAGCGGCTAGTTTGGTATTTTTCATTCTTTCTTTTCGTGTTAGTTCGTCGTCAAATCGAAGGCAGCATAAGAGAAAGGAGAACCTAGCAAGTGACATCGTGCATCTAAATATGTCACGTCCCGTTCCATCAGTAGCCCAAAGGGACCTTAAATCTTCATGGCCTGACTTGTATAACCCAAGGAAGTATAGAAGACCAACAAATGCCTCAATTTCTGTTTTGTCAGTTTCACCAATAAATGAAGGCCGAAATTCCGACCTGCTATTGCTCTTCTTCTTGAACTTTCCATAATGACTTTGAACTGATCTGATTTTTGTATTAGTATGAGTTATAATTTGTCCAAATATTTCATCTGTCAGAAGCAACTTCCAGGCTTGTAAGGCAGATTGAGGTTTGTGTTGTGCTGCATTTCCTTTCAAACCGGGCAAAACTTTTATGATGTTTTTTGCAAGAGTATTTCCTCTTACTGGAGCAGTAGTAGACCATTTTGTTCTATCTTTTCCATACAAAGCTTTTGGAACTTCCTTTCTGTTTAAATTCACATCTTCATTACTGGTACTAGCTGAATGTTCTTCGTCTTCATTTTGTTCGTCGGAAGGCTGCCATTCCTGCTCACTGTCCGTATCGTGGGTACTTAGTTCCTCTTCGTCTTCCTCTTCTTGATCGCTCTGGTCCCCAAACGTAAAAAGTTTTTCGCATGCATCACGTTTATCCTCCTTTTCAATAGTATTTTCATTGTATTCGTAAGTGGAAGATGACGATGATGCAGTATTATTCACGTCGAAATCCTCCCAGAACTCATCAGACTCAATAATTTGTTCCAGCTCTTTATCAGTAAGTCCTTTAGCCATTATAACCTGAAAACATCAAAAAAAAATACTTCATAAAAAAAAACTAAAAATGGTGGTTAAAACTTACCTTTTCATATAAAAAATACTACCAATAGTTCATAAAATATTCAAGTAATTCGGAACAAAATAATAACGTTTATACTATCCACGGGTCATTTTGACCCAGTGGCTGCCATTACAGTCGAATGAACTACGTCACTAGATTAAAACTACGATGCAAATTTACTTCAACAGCGGCTGAACGAATACTGAACCACCGCCAGCTGTTCACGTTTAATATAAAGATACGAAGTGGGGGGGACCTCATATCGATGGGTCATTTTGACCCGTGGGTAGCTATTAAGGGTTAAAACTGATCAAAAAAGTAAAAGTACATCCTACCGCGTTAAAGGTTGATATTCTACTAACTAACCTAAGCGTTAGTTCCCTTTCCTTGATCCGTCTGCTGTGTCAATTCATAACACACGCAGAGCTTGCTTCCGAGGAGCGACGACAGATTCCGAATACTTAAACCCTAATAATGGCACAGGGCACAAAAAATAACAAAAAGGGTCGAACCATGAAAGGCTCGGTTCACCTGCTCAGTACAATGAAATGCGCTTAGCGGTCCTTTCTAGCAAAGTAATATTGCTTTGTTAAATGGTTTACTTACATGTTATTATACCATTTTAGAAACCTAATGAAACGAGGAAGTTTTTGCAGTTATTTGTACATTTTCTTTATTATGATTTTTTAAAAAAAAAATACTTCTTAATGTGAAAGTTGAAAATAAAAATTTTCTTTTAACATTTAAATGAAAATAAATACGTTTTCAGTAGTGTTTTCATATGTTTTTTAATTTATGAGAATTATTTATTTAAATAATAACCTGAAACCACCAAAAAAAGAATGTTTAATCACCAACTTTTTTTATCTCAACTATTTTAATCTGTAATCTGGGTTGTTTTTTTTAAAAAATTAAATCTTCCATAACTTTTTAACCTTTGAATATAGGGTATAGTATTATATACTAATTTTGATAGCAAAGGAGCTGTACTATCACCCCCTAAAATGTTTTACACCTATTTACCTGTCACCCTGTATTATTCTGTTCATTTTTGTAACATGTACCATTCATCAAACGAAAAACTAATATGTAAAGGGCAAAAAAACTCCCATTATAATTAACTTCAGCTCGGACACATTTCGGATTGTCTTTTTGTTCGATTGTATTGGCTATATGTCAGCATCAATCATTTACCTTCTGTACCAAGTACTGCAGCAACATTTTGATTTGAAACTAAAGCATTTTCTCATTTTTCAGCTCTTCCGGTGAGGAAGAAAATTCATCCTGAGGGAATGTTTACGACAGATGTTTGTACCTTGATTGTATTCTCAGTATTGTTATTATTGTTATTTTTAAATGTGATGTTGTACTACAAACTGTGGTCGTTAGAGGAGGCACCGCCGTACACGTTCTTGGACTTGCATTTGTTCAAGTGAGTATTTTATTTCACCAGTACCAATAACTAGAGCATCTCACTGTATAGGGTATCTTAGCACGTTTGTTCTCAGGTTTTGAACGAAATGCACAAAATGCTATTACGATTATACGAGGTTTGTTCAACTGAAACCCATCTGTGGTCAGGTTAACATTGGAAATAATTTTAATCACTTAACTGACGTTTAACGATGTCAGTTGAGTTTGTAAACGTCACACTGATCAGTTCCTGTCATTTGCATTTGACAGCGATTTTAAGAATTGTGACTTAAAAATGGCGTTTGTTGTTAACAATCCTTCTAAATATAATCAGAGTGCGGTCATTCAATTTTTCTGTGCTGAAGGTTTGCAACCATTGCAAATTGATAATAAATAATAAAAAATATCTTACAATTAAAAAAAAACACCCGATGAATAAAAATCAACGAAACCAAATAGCAGCAAATTACCACTGGGTTACATCGCCTTTTCGACTGATTACTGCTTCGATACGTCGTGACATAGTGTCAACTAATGTTTGGTAGTCATCTGGTGTAAAACTGGTCAGAATTTTTTGGAGTTGGGTTCGCAATTCTGGAACGGTTCTTGCGGGATTCGATATACAAAGTGCAAGTTTCCCACTCCACTTGCTGACATGGATGCCCAACTCAGTTCTGTATACCTCGATTTGTTAACACTGTCAGCGATTTGGGAAGCATTTTGTCCTTGTAAATGCAAGTGAATGATCACTTTTCTTATTTCGTCAGAAACAGCTTTACCACGAGCCATTTCTAATTGTTAACAACAACACCAACTCGTTGAAAGTTGATTTAATGTCAGAAAGCAGGTTCTTGGCAACGAAAAATATTATCATTTGCTTCACAAAGCCTACCTTTATTTTATCGAAGCGAATAAACAGACCATTCAACTCAAGTTGTCTCCATCATGTATTTTGCTCTACATAAATCATTTTGCAAAGAAGAACATTTCAAACGCTTTAAAAATAGTCGCGTCGGTTTTGTCTTTCCATAAACAGTTAAAGAAATCCAAAATGTTATATTTGAAATAAAATTTCAATTAGCCCTCAAATAAATTCACAAATATCATGCTAGACATTATTCTGTCCCTAAAATCTAATGCAGCAGGTTCGGATGGTATAACAGTCTCAATGCTGAAGCTTTGCTTGCCTCGAGTATTACTACCCCTGACGCATTTATTGAACTGTTGCCTGGAGGCTGGGTATTTCCCTGATGCTTGGAAACTATCTCTTGTCAAACCCTTGCCTAAATGTAAAAATCCAAAATGTCTCTCAGACTTAAGACCTATAACTTTGATTCCTGTTATATCGAAGATATTGGAGAAATTGATTAAACATCAGGTTTATCATTATTTCTCTAATAATGATTTCTTTCCCAAGTGTCAATCTGGTTTCCGCAGTGGTTTTAGTACAACTTCAGCTTTAGCAAGGGTTTTAGATGACATCATTGCTTCGCTTGATAAGGGAGATGCTTCAGCACTTGTATCATTAGATTATTCTAAGGCGTTCGATAAAATAGATCATGAGCTTTTATGTGCTAAATTTAAGTTTTTTGGTTTTTCAGACATAGCTCTAATGTTTTTTATAACATATCTTTCAAATCGTAAACAAGTAGTAGAGATAGACAACACTATATCTAGTCCGATTGATATAACATCAGGTGACCCTCAGGGTTCAGTTTTAGGGCCCTTGTTGTACTTAATTTATACTATAGACTTGGGTAGCTCTGTGAAAAACTCTTCTGTGATGTGCTATGCCGATGATACACAGATATATAAAAGCTTTAATAGTAACACTTTGCATACTTCAATCAATGAGCTTAATGATGATTTGGAGGCAATAGTAGGATACTCAAATGGTAATAATCTTGAGCTCAATAAGGATAAGTGCTCAGTGATGCTTTTTTGTCCTGTTGTCAAACGTAACACTGTATTGAATTCTCTTGATGTAAAAATCGACAAGGAGCGTCTAGCTGTCGTAAATACTACAAAAAATTTAGGGTTGATTATTGATTATACTTTACGGTTTAAGGAGCATGTTTCGTCTATCTTAAAAAAATGTTATGCAACGTTGAAGTGTTTTTATGTCAATCGCTCTATTTTGAATTTTAAAGTTAGAAAAAAGTTATGTGAGGCTATTATATTTCCAAGCTTATTTTACTGTAGCACTGTGTTCTATCATTGTCTTGATTCTATCACAAAAGCAAGACTCCAAAAACTCCAAAATACTTGTTGTCGATTTGTATTTAATCTCAAGAAGTATGATCATGTTTCCTTAAAGAGATTTCAGCTTGGTTGGATGTGTATAGAAAATGCTTGTAAGTACCATATAGCAGTGTTTACACATAAGATCATATCTTCTAGATCCCCCTTGTATCTTTATGAGAAATTTGTTTTCAGACGAAATAATTCAGACATTGATTTCAGACACAAAAAAAGACTAGAGATCCCTATGTATAAAACAACTTTATTTCGTAGTTCATACACTTACAATGCTATCCTGATTTATAACGAATTAGATGACAATATAAAGGATTGGCCAGTAAACAGATTTCGTAAGCATGTGAAACAGATTTATTTGTCATTGTAGTAATTGTGGAAAAGTTAGTTTTTAATTCTTACATTTAATTTTATTTTACGTAATATATGTGTGTATATATGTATGCTAGGAAGTTATCAAGCTCGTTATTTTGAAGCGTCTTTTGCTTGTCAAAGTTTCCTTTGATTGAGTGTTTAATTTAGTATTTGGGTAGGTTAAGTAGAGTAGCCAAGAGCTAGACTTCGCCTACGTAGAGGTCACATTATGTTGTAGTGTATATAATGTGCCTAATAAAGACATTTTATTATTATTATTATTATTATGTTTTGGGGCGATGGGTCAACTTCACTGAGACAGGGCTCGTATAAGAACTCCTGGATGTGTCCAACGATAGTCGGCTAACATATTCGGGCTCCACTCTCGTGTACGAGGGATGTCTTTTAAGTTTTGCATATGGAAATAAAACAACACGGTAGGTAGTTTTAAATGACTTTATTGTTTTTCGAAGTATTCTCCACGAAGATTAATACACATCTTCATGCGCTCGAACCAATTTTCGAAGCACTTATTCCACTCGTTTGCTGGCAGATCCCAAACGGCATTTTTGAATGCGTCAACTGCTTCTTCTGGTGACTGGAACCTTTGACCACGCAGTCTGTTTTTAATTTTCGGGAAAGTAAAGAAATCGTTAGGACTTAGATCGCGACTATATGGAGGATGGTCCAATAATTCCACGTTTTCTTCCGTTAAATACTGCCTTGTTTTTTGGGCTGTGTGCGAGCTTGCATTGTCTTGGTGGAGGAGGATTCTTCTTTCGGGGTTGATTTTTCGAAGCTCGGTGATGACTTTTGTCAAACAAATGGTGGTATACCAATCCGCAGTAACAGTTCTTTGCTCGTTTAGAGGAATTGTTGCAATATGACCCGCTTTTGACACAAATGTCGCGACCATCTTTTTCGAAACATTTCGAGAACGGATGACATTTGTTGGCTTTTTTTCACCCTGGAACACCCAAACAGCCGACTGTCGTTTACTTTCTGGTTCATAACAGTAAATCCACGATTCATCACCACTAACAATGCGTTTTTTGACACCAATTGACCCTGGCTGCTTTCTGCTCTTCAGTCAACGGGTGGGGTATCCAACGAGAAACTAATTTTCTTACTCCTAATTCTTCATGTAAAATTTTTTGAGTTGAGGTCTTTGAGATTTTCAAGGACGCCTCAAACTCGTGATATGTCACATGAGTATCTTCAATGACGAGTTTGCGCACAGCATCGACGTTTTCCTGAGTGACTGCCGTTTTTGGTGCACCCACCCTGGGATCGTCGCTAAGACTCACCCGTCCACGAATTCTCCATGCCAGTGGGAAATTGTCGACTGGTGTGGGGCTTTGTTGCCGAAAACATACAGTAACTCAGCAAGGCATTCTTGTTGCGATAATTGTCTCTGAAAGTTGTAATAAATTATGGCGCGAAAATGTTCTCGGTTGAGTTCCATTTTTCTAATGACTTGGTGACGCTTAAAAATTCACTGTAGTGAGAACACTGCACGTATTGTTGTGAAACTTTGAATTTAAGTTTACTAAAGAGTGAAGTTAAGATTCAGTACTGACGTTCGATCCGCGCGGCCTACTATGTTTCTATATGCAAAACTTAAAAGACGTCCCTCGTATACCTCTTCTCTATGAAATCGTTCTCCATGCTCATCTGACATTGCTGCTAAATTTTTAGGAGAAAAGTCCAAATGAGGATGGTGTAGTGAAATTTTAGTTATAGGCCCTGAGTAGTTCTTCCACGAGTTCGCGATAATTTTCTGATTTCTTATTTTGCAGAAAATTGATGCAAACACTTTCAAATGCAGTCCATGCCTAACTTTCATTGTAACTTAAAATTCGCCTGAAGTTCGCATCTTTTAACAATTTCCTAATTTGGGGACCAACAAAAATTCCTTCTTTAATTTTAGCCTCACTTATACGTGGAAATTTGTATTTTAAATCTTTGGAAGCATCTCCTTCTTTATCCAGTGCTTTAACAAAATTTTTAACGCCAACTTATATTGTTTCACGGGCAGGCCAAACTTAATTTTATAGTGTTTGTCAATAACGACACCACTTTTGAATCTGCACAAATATGTTCCATTTTTGATCTTCGTACTTTATACTCGTACATCTGAATAACATCTTGTCAAACGTTTTTAAACTTGTTTTAGCGGAATCTATGAATAGTTTCCATTTATGGGGCGCATATGGTAAGTTGAGTTCAGTCATTAGGCCTGGTATGTCCTAGCAAAATACTGAATCACGTTGTGAAAAATGGTTCTTAGCGTCACTTTGCATTTTTATACTTTGTATAAATAAAGCTGGGTTATTATTACACTGCTGCAGGCGGGATCCGAGAAGTTCCGCTTTTGTTTTCGGTAGGTCCAAGTCACGAACTAGTCATTCAATTCACTTTGAGTGATTAAATGTGGTGCTTGGTCCGGCTTCTGTTTAAGTTTTTTCAGAGTCTGATTCCGAATCAAGAGTGTAACTCTCAGGTGGTTGGAGAATGGGCAATGTGTGTTGTCACATGGTAGCATTGCAGAGGGAATATTTGGGATACCGAATGCTTCGCTTGGTTTTTCTAGTAATTCCTTTAATATTCGTCATGCAAAAATAACAATCATCTACGTGATTACGAGGTTCCCTCCAAGACATTGAAACTGCGAATGGCATAGATTTACGAGTACCTTTCAGCCATGTTTCCGAACACGAACTGCAACACATTTTTGGGACCCAGGACTTGTCCTGATCACCAACTTTTCATCCAAGTGTTCATAAGCCTTTTTTACTAGTGAAGATATCGGCTTTTCGTACGCTTCCGCAGTACCTTCGTCACAAATATAACCGAAGTTTTGTTACTGTTTTAAACAGGGACGATGGTCTAAGCGAAAATATGAATAGATGCTTACCAAATGATTATATAGTGAGGACTAAAGGGATATTTCAAGCATAGATCCAACTACCTGTAGATAATAATAAATTTTACAAGACACACGATATTTTTATAGGGAGGATTTTTGAGTTATGTTAATTTCACGGTGATAAAAACAAATGAATGCAAGCGGACAGTATTACAATTTTTCATATTTGTTGCAGGAACCCTCCTAAGAGTCACGAGGATTGGATAAAATTACTACAGCAACAAGAAGCGCTGCATACTATCGAATCGCAAAAGTGGCAAAAGCTACTGAAAAATGCAATTAATCTTTTGAAGCAGGTACAGTATATAAAGTTTTTATCGATCGCGTGTTACGGTTATTTTTTCTTCGATACCTATTTTTTGAGGTATGGTCAAATGATTTGCAGGCTACGGTACCAAGTAAATTAATGCAAAATGCGGCTTCTCAAAGACACGTTCATTTATAGGTTAGTCTGACATAAGAATAACTGGCTGCATTCATATGATATGGATGAACAGTGTACGTAAAAGTTACTATGAGCTTTTGGATGATCAGTGAAGATTGCCAAACATCGAGAATGAAGAACAGTTCAAGATAGGTATAATATTCTTTTCGGAAAGGACTACTCATGCTCACGTAACTCACGCATGTGTAGCCTAACATTTTTTTTACATTTCTTCAAATCTCCGAATAGGATTTTCCGTCGTATCCTTTTCTGTTTCAATGCACCCCACTATTTCTATTAAAAATAATCGTGATATTATGGGTGGGGTACTATTGTTGTTCTCATGGGTACCGATGAGAACAAGAATACCGATTCTGGGACTCTGTGGACAAAAGAGGCTCGCGAAATTACCACAAAATCCACGTTTTTGCGTGAAAGGATCGCATTCAATCGTGTTTTACATTATTAGATACGGTCAGCAAGGTCACCGAGTACCGTGACTGAATGAGAGTCTTAAGTGTGTATGTTTTCCATATTTTTGTTGATTGGCAAATCAAAAAATGGTGTACTTTGTTCGAAGTTCAAAATATCGAGTGATTGTACAATTTCAATATTGTACAGTGAAATCTCCTTTGGAAGGGTACCAATCAACGGGACCGACTGAAAGTGTCCGTTCAAGAGGGGTGTTCGTATAGAAAAATAGAACAAAAATCATGTTTTTAATGAAAACTGAATGTATTAAAGAAACTGGGACATTTAAAACGTATATGTATATAAATGTTTTTAAAATGAACAAAAAACTTTAAACTCATGAAAAAAAAGCTTTGTTACCTTGACATATATACAAAATATGAACATATATATAATATAATAAAAAACAGAAAATAATGGGCAATATCCGCAAAAAGAAAGAAAGTGGATTCGAGCAGAAAATAGGATAGGTCACCTGAGCGATACGTATTTCTGCTGGTTGGCTTCATCAGGTCCGAAATAAATGCACATATGCAACTACAAAAGTAGATACACATGTCCATACATCCGGATACGGGTGTAACCTGAGGAAATGAAGATGGGCATATATGGGCATGTGTATCTACTTTTGTAGTTGCATATCTGCATTCATTTCGGGCCTGACGAAGCCAATCAGCAGAAATACGTATCGCTCGGGTAACCTATCCTATTTTTTGCTCGAATCCACGTTCCTTCTTTTTGCGGATTTTGCCCATTATTTTCCTATTTTTTGTTATATACCTTTCTCCGCATGATGATTTTCTTTATAATATAATATGTATGTAAATGTGTATGTGCCTACATACAGGATGACTTTGAAGTTGAGTCATTAATTTTCAGATAATGATTGTAGAAGGAAGATAAACCAAAATATGTGTGTAAAAATAAAAAAAAAAATAAAAAAAAGATTTTTTACCTTGTTTTATAAAGTATCCTCCTGACAAGTATTTCAGTGCGGACCTGTATTTGATCGTGAGGTCTTGGAGCACCGGCATGCCGTCCCCTGTGAGGTCTTAAGTCACCTGATTCACGAGCCCGTTGTACTACATTAACAAAGGCACGAGGGGTTGGTTGCACTCGATTGGGAAACCGATCCGCATAAACATGTGCCATTTTTTATTTCGTTTGAGCCACGCAACAGACACCACGATTCACTCACGCGTTACCGACTGACACTGACTGTATACAACTGAATAAAATAATTGTAAAAACATCGTTCCAAATTCTTTCACTTTTTTGTTTCCGATGCGATGAACCGATAAGGCGGATTATATCCGTTGTTGACAAACACGAGCACATAATATTATTATTGAGACAGGGCGGTACTCAAACTTCCAAAGGGCTATAACTTTGTTACTTTAATTTTACCAGAAAAATGGTAAAGGAAAAAACATTTCTTTTGATCAGATCTACTCATTGTTAAAATAAATGACTAATCTTCGAAGTCACCCTGTATATGTAATAACACAAAGCATTGAAATAAAAAGTCACCTTAAGGACGCAAAAATTCATATATTGTCGTTTGTCTCCTCTTTTTCTTTAAAATGTCAGTTTGAAATCGTATTTCTGATTTAGAAAGAAGCTCGAAAGACTCTGTATCTCCCTCATTTTAGACAAAACTTTTGAGATGCTTGGTCAGGGTAATAGCTTCACCATAATCTCATCGACATCAGAATCTTCGGAAAGTTCTTGTATTTCAACTGAATTCTCCATTTCTTGACCTGAACTTGGATCTTCAACATACAAACGTTCATCCGGGTAATCATAAAGGTTTTCATTATCAGTCAATTTCAATAATTTCCTATTTTTGATGATATCTGAAAGTACATTAAGTGGTAAGTCATCTCCTGTGTTAGGTGTATCAGCCTCATTTAACTGGTTTTCACTTTGCATATTTTCATGCTTAAATCCTGCTTTGCGGAAACAATTTTGCACTGTTTCTTTGGTTACTTGATCCCAATCCGTTTTTGCGAAATAAACTGCATCCAATGACACAGTGCAAAATTATAAACCTTTCTCTGGGATACCTACCCCCAACATACTTTTACTTATTTAATCTGAGCGTTTTGTCGGGTAGAGCCTTAAAATACAGGCCTGCCTAATCGTCATTATAGATGTTTCTCGGTGAACATCCCTTAATCAAAGAAGGAAATTTTTCAAAAAACGAATCGAGCTGAGAGAATCGGCTATTTCTTTTGCTTCACATCTTATTAACGGAGCTATTGGTAATCTCACTCTTTTTATCTATTTTCGAACTGATATATACAGAAAATCAACACAATAACACAAAAAGCTTTATCACAAAAAATAATATGCATACACACCTGTCCCCTTATGATGAGCTGCGATAAACCAGTTCTAACACAATTTGTCAATTTTTGGTACCATCACCCGTCAAAAAGCTTATTTTTTCATTCAAATTGCTGTTCGACATCCATTTCTTTAGAAGGATTTTTTAAGTTTAATTATATCTGCAGCTTGTGTTTTTCCAAGATTAAGACGCTTGGATAAGTTCCTTACACTTAACTTCTCCTTACTGTGAACTTCAACATCAACATTTTTGTTGTGTGAGAATTTTTTCATTTGGAGCCATTTCTACGATGAATGTGTCACTCATTTTTTCTTTTCCTCGTAGACGTTAAGACTAATACTGAATCGAAATTTAATCCAAAGTTTGAACCCGAAAGATAAGAACGATAAATCCCCGAACTGGGGGAAGTCCCTAATTCACTCCGAGCAGAACTGCAACACATGGCTGCGTTTGTAAGGAAAGATTCGGTTTATTCGAGAAAGTCTTAACAGAAAAAAATAAGACAAGGCGTTTCCTTTTATTTTGTTTTTTGTCCGGTTAGGTTAGAGATTTTCTCCTGTCCAAGAAAGAGTTGATACAATTCAAATTATATGAGAAACTGTCTGTTTAACGGTGTCCGAGTAAGAGGGGTGTCCGCGAAGGGGATTTTCACTGTATATCTCCTGGTATATTGTTACACATTTTCGACACTCCAGGAACAATGAACTTGCTTTTGATTGTATTAAGATGTGGCATATTCTTGGGAAAACCAAAAATTCTACACATGCGCCTTCGTCAAACCGAAATATGTATCTCTGTCCAGCAACTGTATTCAGGATGAAGATCAGGGTTCGATTGATGATTCTTTGCATAGCTTTTTTATATTATTTATTTTTCAGGCTGAAGAATCTCTAAGTGAATTGCAGACATCTATTCAGACAACGTATTCCAGTAAAGTCATAACGATATTACAAAATCAGAACGAGCAACCACTACCAGATCCATCTTCCGGTAATACAGATGAACTCTAAATGTTTCATCTCTCCCATGTAGCGATAATATTATTTATTGTTATTGTTTTTATCTATTTTATGTCAAGGCGCACTGTGTTATATTTTTAGGCTGTTAGAGAATTTTACATGTTGTTCCTCTTCACTTAGTGAAACAGATTAAAACTATTCCCAATCAGTCGTCTTTTAGTTCCTATTCTATATTCCCATAAGAAATATGTGGGGTTGCCCCACCTGGCGGTGATCTCCATGATTATTCGCAGTCTATCTTGCTGACGGATTCACACATACAAAGGGTATTATAAAAGTTTTACAATATGACTTAACAAACATGTCCATGAGTGCATAGTAGCCGCCTGCAGCACGTCTGTTGATTTAGGTGTTCATTCGTATTGGCAGTGTAAAGGTGCGGACTATGGCATCAAGGTCACGTAATGAGATACGGGCAGTTTTACGGTATAACTTTACGCGTGGTTTAAGCATAGACCACTGCTTAGAAGAAATTACGCTTGCATTAAGGAATGATTGTTCTCATCGTACCACTATGTCAGGTGGTACAGATAATTCTAATATCACTCTGGAGGTCGCTGAGAGGGAGGGAAGACCGCAAACGTCACTAACAGAGGAAAACATTACTGCTGTGAGGAAAACGTTTGACGAAGACTGGAGAGTGACACATCAACAGGTAGAGAAGACCTTACACCTTCATACACAAGCAATTTGTTCAATTCTGCATGACCATTTACACGTAAGGAAACTTGTTCTCTCTGGGTACCGCATAGTCTGAGCAGAAGACTCGTAGTACGACTTGTTTTTTTTATACTCCAACTACCACGAAGGCCTTAGGCCTAAACACCCATTGGTACCGTGGGGCTATAGGGGGATACAGGGGAAAGGGGGGGAACGCCACACGGATTCTGGCGAGGGAACACGTGTGCATGTAACATGCACACATTCTGGCTCCGCCTACGAGATCCGCCGGGTGGCACCTCCGCGTTCGACAGTCAGAGACCGTCTACCACCTACGGACAATCACAACATCCATAGCCAAAATGTTTAATAAGGGGCAATCTAGGTATGTGAACAGCATCGTGACAGGTGGCGAGACTTGGCTCGACATCAGAATGTGCCGACCAAGGCTCAAAACAAAGTTTGGGTGTTTGATGATGAGGACACACCCGTAGCTGTCAGAAAATCCCGATCTTTCAAACAAAAATGATAGCTGTATTTTACAAATCGAGTGGGATTGTGCAGCGTGTCGTTTTGGACCCACAGAAGTCGCAGCTAAGTGGTACACGGAACAGTGTCTGGGCCTAAAGACATCGAGTCTATGAAAAACCTGCGGCCAAAGTCAAGAACGACAACGATCCAGCTCACTGCGCCAAAGCCTGCACCGCGTATTTGACCACTACTGGACTGAAAATTATTGAGCACCCTACTTACAGTCCAGATCTTGCTCCATGCGACTTTGTACTGTTTCCGCACTTAAAAATGAAGCTAACAGGAAAACGGTTTTCTAGCGATGAGGACCTTCTAAGGGCTTCGGACAACGAGTGTGCCGCACTCCCGGGTGAAACTTGGCAGATCTGGTTTAAAGACTGGTTTTGGCCGATGAAAAAGTGTATTGAATGTGGTGGAAATTACTTTGAACAAAGTAAATAACTAAAGCTGTATTGCTAGTAGCCTTGTTTTTAGATGGGATTTGCGGTTTATGTGTAGCGACATTCGACACATTGGCGTCTTTTATGGCGACCTGCATTGCATCGGGCACTGGGAGCGGAGGGGGACCCCAAAGTAGATCAATTTTTTAGATGATCATAACTCTTACCAATTTTTGTGTTGAAAAACAGATAGAACTATGTGCTTCTCAATTTAAGGACAACGGTATAACCACGATTATCATTGTATGTTATAGATCACCTTCAGGGGATATAAAAGTGTTCTACGATAGATTGGGTCAAGCAATACATTCCGTTTATCAGCCGTATCACCACATAATTTTATGTGGCGATTTCAATATAAATTATTACAATCAAGGTACTGAATCTCTAAACCTGAATAGTGACCTCAGTGAATTCACTTTGTCTCCATCAGTGGGATGGCCGACAAGAATCGGACGAAGTTCAGTCACCACTATTGATCAGATATTTTCAAATTTTGAGGACAGTGGTACTTTCTGCTCTTTAGAGAATAATATGTCAGACCACAGGACAGTCTTCTTCGAATTCCATCAAAACATCTTAACAAAAAACAAACCTAATAATATCTGGAAAAGGTGCTACGATGAAGACTCGATAAACAAATTCATATCAGATCTATGTGCTGAAGATTGGTCTCTACTATATAACGTGATCGATGTTAGCCTCGCGTTTGGACATTTTTTTGAGGTATTTAACTACCACTTTCAGATGAATTTTCCACGGCGAATGCATACGGTTTCAACCAAAAGAAAATTCTGGGTGAACGAAGAAATAGTGCGTTCTAGTCACAATTTAAAGGAACTTCATTATTTAGCAACGGTAGTTCCAGAATGTAAGCAACAATATATTGAAAAAAAAGGACAACACAAGGAATTAATAGAACATACGAAACGAAGGTATTATCAGAAAAAAATATTTAATTCCAGCAACAAAACTAAAGCTGTCTGGAAGACTGTATCTGAACTGACCGGGAATAACACAAAAAAAACAATAATATGAGTTCGACTACTACATCCAATCAGAAAAATCGTGCTGATGAATTCAAACAGTTTTTCAAAAATGCACCTCTAAAAATCGTCAGAAATATTCCAACATATCCCACTCAGGATAATACCTTTAGTTCGAGCAGGGAAGATACACGGCATTTGATGCTGTATCCATTTACTGATGATGAATTATTTGACTTAATTAATAAAAAGCTAAAAAACAAACATTCGTCTGGGCCTGATGAGATCCCAAATTTTATAGTAGGAAAAGTATTGAATTACATTTTAAAGCCACTGGTCCTCATGATCCATATATCATTCTGCACAGGGAAATTTCCTTGTCTGCTAAAGTCAGGAAAGGTGATTCCAGTATACAAAAAGGGGATCCCTCTGAGCTGAGTAATTACAGACCAGTAACAATACCATCAACTTTTTCAAAAGTATTCGAGTACTGCTATCTGGACAGGTTGTTTTTGTTAAATAATAATATTTTGACAGAATCAGCACGGTTTTCGAAATGGGAAATCTACGGCAACAGCAATTCATAGCTTCTACGGAACTCTTGTCAAAATGATTGAGGCGGGCGAGTGCCCTGTTGGGATCTTTTGTGATCTCAGCAGGGCATTTGACTGCGTCAATCATGAAGTGCTGTTGCAAAAAATGTCAAAGTATGGCATAAATGGTCAATCATATCACTGGATAAGGTCTTTTTTAGAGAATAGGTCCCAATTTGTGAGTATCGTCGATAGTGGTCTGAATGCGCCTATTAAGTCCGACATAGCTGACATCTCCATAGGCGTCTCTCAGGGCTCTATTCTAGGACCTGTGCTATTCAGTATATATGTAAATGACCTTGAGTTATGTTCCTCTGAAGGTAGATTCATTTTATATGCAGATGATACTTCAGTGGTGATATCGAATAAGTGTGAGGCTACATTAGAGAGATATTGTGGAGTTTTATTGCAAGGTATTCACAAGTGGTTTAGCAGCAATCAGCTCTATTTGAATTCGGAAAAAACATCAGTTGTCCAATTTCACAACATCCAGAAGAAGCCTAGGACATTAAAGATCATTTTTAATGGCTCAAGAATGTCCCTTAACACGCAAGTTAAATTTTTGGGCTTGTATCTAGATTCAGGTTTGAATTTTAAAGACCATTGTGTATACATTGCTTCAAAGATAAACTCCCAATCATGTCTTATGAAAAATTTGCGAACTGTCCTTACCGAAGCACAGGTAGTTTCTGTTTACTATGCTCAAGTTGAGACACGACTGATATATGCACTATGCTTCTGGGGTTTGTCCACAACTGCCCAACAAGTATTTTTGGCCCAAAAAAATAGTGGTTAGATGCATTATGGGAGTCAGCAGTAGGCATTCTTGTAAGGATATTTTTAAGCGCCTTAAGATTTTAACTTTACCATTTTTATTTTTATACGAAATGGCTGGGTATACTTTTATTAACAAAACTAGATTTTTAAACAATTTTAACTCGTACTCGACCAGACAAGCTGGAGACTTAAATGTGAATTTATAAGATCGGCGTCAGATCCCCGGTCCACGAATTTTCAATAGGCTACCAAACCATATTAAAGAGTGTGGAGATATGCATAATTTTAAGGATAAACTAACAAATTTTCTTGTGTGTAAATGTTATTATGCCGTCTCTGAGTTTGTTATCTTGTGATTTCTTTGTGTGTTTGTTTTATACATATATTTATTTTGTGTTGTTTTATTAGTTTTTATTCCGACGAATTCTATACATACTTTGTAATGTCTCTTAGGATAATGAAATAATTTGAATTTGAAGTCTCATGCTCCTCGCTTTTTTTACTTCTCAAGCCTGCTGGTCAATGGTAGTTTTCGGCCTACGTTTCAACGGCAAAGAATTGGAAGAACACTAGAATATATTAAAAGCGTACTGGAATATATAGAAGGAAATTCTCACGTTAGCACAAGGGCATTAATCCTTGAGTTTGGCATATCATGAACAACGGTTCAAAATATTTTGTAAGACCATAGGTAAGTTCTAATTGCCATTAAAATATAGGGATTTATTTAAATTTAACTTTTTTTAATTACTTATAGAATGCACCCATATCATGTCGTTTTGCATCAGGCCTTGATATTGCCATTGGATGTTAGGCATGATACGCGTTTCCTCAGGTTACACCCTGATCCTGATGTATGGGTATGTGTATCTACTTTTGTAATTGCATATGTGCATTCATTTCGGGCCTGATGAAGCCAACCAGCAGAAATACGTATCGCTCAGGTGACCTATCCTATTTTCTGATCGAATTTACTTTCTTTCTTTTTGCGGATTTTGCCCATTATTTTCTGTTTTTTATTATATTATATATATGTTCATATTTTGTATATATGTCAAGGTAACAAAGCTTTTTTTTCTTGAGTTTAAAGTTTTTTCTTCATTCATTGCATATGTGCATTCATTTCGGGCCTGATGAAGCCAACCAGCAGGCGTACGTATC